GTATCTCATAATTTACAGAGAATTAAAGGAGAACATTTTGTAATACATTTGAATTGTAGATGCACCTTCCCTACATTGATGTTTTTCACATATGTTGGGCTAAATTCCCATAATATCCAGCTAGCAAGATCTTGCACACAAAATGGTTCATCTTTTTTTCTCACAAATCTGCAAATTTCACAGATTAACAAAACAAATAAAATTAACAGTGAACCAATAGAATTAAATCTTTGTTCCAAAAAAGTATTAGAGATCTTAACTTACCTGCTCAGTAGCTGTTGGACAGTAAAATACTAATATTATGGTCGTGCAGATGTTTATTATCAGTCCAACAATTGTAATCAGGTTAGGGGCAATCCATGCTGGTACTCTTCGCACTAACCATTCCCAGTAACCTTGCATAAGTGGCTCAAGTAGGGACCGTCCAGCACTTTGATATTTGTGTTCTTCTAATCGTTTTAACTGATGCTTTGATAAAGGCGGTGTTGGCAACTGAAACAATTTGCTCAATGTACATCCTGTAGAAGGAACGTGACCATAGCGTGCAGGGGATTCCAGATGCAATTCCCCACATCGTTTCTTCAGTGATCGATTCCCACTCATGGATTTATTCACCTTAAAGTCTGTATCCGACAAAGTTTAATTGTTGTAAAGAAACATAAGATCCTGGAACAGAAAGTATTTAGATTAATATATGAGGAAAAATATTGTAAAATTCTGAAGCGCTTAATGGTGAGAAGTACAATAGCTGAAAGTCCAGAATATCTGTAAATACATTAAACCAAGCTATAGTTGTACCAACTTTAATATTCCTTTTAAGAAAAGTAAATGCAACAGTCTAGTGAATATTGTACGGTTGTGACTGAAGCAACTAAAGAATGGTCATGGAGAATCAAAAGATACTATGAGAAACTCATTTTCTTTCAGACCAACCAATCTTACAGGTTTGTTATAAGAGTAAAATGAAAGGATATCACAACTAAGCTGTCTTGAGATCCTGGAGAAAAGTTATGATATAAATCTAAATAAGAATAGGTGTCTTGGGTGTAATTCCAAAACATCTAAAGCATAAGTTGAACATTGTCAGCATTGATAAAATCCCCATAGGTCAATTGCAAAAAACAGCTTTACTTGGAATAGCTTACATCCTATAATAGTAGCTGTCAGGAATTCAGCAATCACTCTAATTAAATCGTGATTCTTGAGCCAAACTTCAAAAAACTTCAAAGAATTCATTAGAGGTGACATGTCACCTCTAATGAATCCTTTGAAGTTTTTTGATGTTTGACTCGAGAATCATGATTTAATTAGAGCGATTGCTGGAATCCTGACAGCAAGCCAACTCTGGCATACATAATTTACAGTCACCTGTGACCCTATTTCCTCCCTCCCCCCTGGGTGTCTCATAAACCAGATTCTCCAATTGAGCACATTCAAGGCTGGGTGTCATCATTCACATTCTCCAAGCTCTGGTATTTTAGTTACAATCTTTTAAAGATAAGAATTGAAATATTCTTTCGCTTTCAAACTGCTCTACTGCTGTTCTAGATTTCCTTCCTCCTCCCCACCTCCTTTTTTTATGGCAACTGCTAAAACAGGCATAGGAATGTTTTATGAGTTGACAATATCTTTTATACTATTCAACAATATCTCTCTATCCAAGGTACTTGGAAAACACTAAATAGGTAAACAAAAATACTAAATCTGGTCTAAATATCTGATTGATTGTGCAACCAACAATAATAAAGATTAAAAATAAAAAATAATTACATTATGGAAAGTCATCTTAAAAAAATACTTACCGATTTTTACTAGTTAAGGTAATTCTTAATATTGATTTTGAAATGAAAACACAAATACATGCTTCCTATGTGTAAAATGTCTATCTCCTGATCACTCATCACATTTTTAAAAATAATTTTCACAAAGCCCCTTCTGTTCATTAAATTCTTATTCCTATTTGCTTTACTTTGTTTTAATCTTCATCCTCCACTTAAATAAAGTGTGTTGCCCATATCTGGTAACCCCTTGTTATTCCCTGGAAAGCACTATTTGTGGATTATGTTAGGGATTACATTGAAGATGCACTTCCGTCATGACAGATGCATTCCAAAAGAGGGAGGAGACCAGAGGGCCGATGTTAGGAGTACTATGGGCTGCGATCAGGAACATTTCTATATTGTAATAATAGACTATCAGCAGATGGAGAGTTCTAGTTTTCCTGTTTTTAATACAGGAAAGTATGTGTTATGGTGCAGTTTGTACTGTTTTTTTCTGAATAAAGAAATATTTGAGAAGCGTTGGGATTAGTTTGAGCATGATTTAGCCTGAAGAATAATTATTTCAATAATAATTAATTTTTTTCTTCAAGA